GTAGTCGTAGTCGTAGTCGTAGTCGTAGTCGTAGTCGTAGTCGTAGTAGTAGTAGTAGTAGTAGTAGTACATGCAAAATTTCGCAAATCTGCGGGTGTCCCGGTGTTTGTCTGAATTCTGATGTTGCTACGATTTTGATCATCAAAGTAGGTGACAAGGCAGCTTGAAGGGAGGCGTCCCTTGCTCTGTTGGCCGTAGCCTACCCACAGCAAAGCCCTGCCCACCACCCCCCAGAAGGAGGGGTCTACTTGAAGTGGGGGCAAAGTGGAAGGGAAAAGCGGTGAACTCTTCCTAGAAGGCCCGTTTCATAGAAGTGCTAAGCTGCTACTGCTGAGAAAAGAGAAAGCAAAAACACATAAGCATACATAAGCATGTGGTGGATGACCAAAACAGGGGTTTACCCACGCACGGTCTTGTTGCGGACATAGAAAACTGCAAACCTCCAATTCCCACGGCGCGTACCACGGCGCGTACCACGGCGCGTACCGGCAATACGCGTATGCAAAAAGAACTTTGGCGAACTCCAACTTCACTTCGGAGGATCGTTCATTTCACCACCCAACCTCCCAGAATTCAAATCCAAGACACATGTATAGGTCCTGGCGAGATACACGTGTAAACCGGAGGGAAAAAAGAGAAACAGCTTTCGAGATGGTCCGCTTCGGTGGTCATTCTCACTGCACCTCTTGAATGCAGGTTGGAGGCCATCGCTACTAGGGTGGAGGCCATCGCTATTATTAGAAACAAAGAAAAAACAACAGAAGAAAGGTAGTCCCAGATTTCTTCTTCAGGCAAAACTTCGGTCGGACCCAGGCGAGCGGGTGTTCGATTGAACGACAGCAAGGTGTTCATTGCATCTGAGGATACCCCCACACAATAAAAATAAACAAATGCGAAAGTACGGGTGCAAGCCAGGATCCATGGCAGTGTTGAGAGGAAATCTCTGTTCGTTCTGGCCGTCACGTCTCGTCACGTCTCTCGGGCAGTCCGCCGTTCGCCCCGTCTGAACATTGTCTCATCGACGGATTGGCACGGTGCACGAGTTCGGCTGGTGCGGTTTCGTGGCGCAAAGGACTCCCTTTTCACCGCACGAAAGAGGGCCCTGAAGTTCTTCTGTATTAAAGGACATACGCACCAGGCGCTCCCTGAAGAAAACGAAACCGTTTGGCTGGCGGCAACAGGTTCAATTCGCACCCAACTGCCAATGCAGAGGCTGTACAGTGTTCACGGGAACGATCAGCAAGGCCACTGAATCCCCTTCCAAGTCACTGAAACCTGCCTTTAGGTTCCAGAAAGCGTATCCCAAAAAGCGTTCCAACATCCCCACCCCAAATCCAACCAACTATGCTGTGGTTTCGGTGGGTGATCCCCCAAACAAGCAGGTCTCGGTCTCCATGCCAAGGATCTTAACACTGACGTGGTGGTTCCCAACTTGCTCAAGCTTTTTGCTTGGAACTTGGGTTCCACCACCAACTTTTCGCAACGATGCTGGCCAACTTGGGTTTGAAAGATCCGCTGCCACTCGCTGCTCAATATGTGCAGAGCTGGTGCACCGGTGCACAGGAATTGGTGTAAAGTGGCACACGGTCCTGAAGATGCCCTTCCCCAGATTCGGCGGCATGGATCCGCGGAAATATATACCCGAAAATACAAAGTTGGTTCTTTTGCGAGACCTCCACAAAGATTCCAAAAAGTTTCGCAGAAAGGAAGGCTGTAGGAACCTGCGTGCACAAAATGTTTCAAACACAGCGGCACACTCACAAATCTGCAGCTGGCCCGTTTTGCCATGTTGCAGGAAAAACCGGCAAATTGATCAAAACAAGGTTGGCTGCTAACCACCCTATACAACTCGGACTCCGATCTCCGCATTGGACTTGCTTGACAAAGGGATATTTAAAGCCAAACCTGGCAAAATGCAGAGAAAATAGATTTAAAAAAAAAAATCCTAACAGTTGGGCATGACTTTGCTGACTAAACACTGGCATTCGTAAACAATTGCGCGACGCTTCCAACTATACTAGCAAGTGGTGTGTGTTTGCTAGACCCTGCTGCTTTTAAAAATGGTGACCCTTTTGAATGAACCATACGAACAGATTAACACGGCAATATGTCAGTGTAACACATGTGCCCACATATGCGCAAGCATGACAACACCACAACCAGCACAAACTAGGGAATCTCTTCAGGATCCGGCTTTGGAGCCCGCAAGCAAGTTCTCACAACACCATGACCTGTTTTCTGCATCTGAGCATGATTGCGAGCGTCTTAGCGTGCCCCAAGCCATATTGACATATGTCAGCACAGCCTGGCAACTTGTCGTGACACCTACACGTCTGCGTGGCATTCTAGATTCACACCACGCCGCACGACAGTACGACGTGTTCAAAGGTTAGCAACTAGCAAACACTTGGCAGCCTGATGGCATGTCAACATGTCAGCGTGACAACAGGCCAGCATCATGACACGTCAGCGCAGCATGCAGCATCTCATAATATATGCATGGGGCTCTGGGGCTTGTGGGAACCTGCTCCCAAACTCCGCACCTTCTCTGCTCCGGAGCCTCTGTTGCTCCCGAACTTGCTCCAGAGCCACAGGCTTGAGAACCTGCCGGAACTTGCTCCAGAACCTGCTCCGGATCTGGAACTGGCACCGGAAGGCACCGGGACCTGCTGCGAAACCCCTGCTCAACAACTTGCTCCAGAACTTGTTCCAGAAAGCTTGCGCCGGAACCTGCTCACAAACTTGCTCCGGAACCTGCTCCGGGGCCTGCTCCGACCTGCTCCAAGGTCTTTACTAAGAGTGTCGATCCTTAAGTTTCACCGGGGCAAAAAAACAAAGAAGCCTCGCTTCCTCTCAACCTCATCATCTGTCGGATATTCCCTTCGTCGCAAGTCACGATGGAGTTCCCCGAGTTCGCTCGTTTCAAAGCCAGAAGCTCTTCTGAGTCCTGACGTCCTCCGCGGGATAGGGAGTCCTTTCCTCTTCGCACAAGTCAGCGGCCAAAACCTCAGAGGTTTGGACGCCAATTGTGGCCGGCAAAGCGCAGCTGTTTGAAGCCAGTCTTCCTGATCTTCCAAGGGGAGGTCCTTTTGTGCCAATTCACAGGGTGATGGTCCCACCCCGAACGGGTTCCGGGGTCGGAACCAAATACTTAGAATTTAGAATGTACTCTGGAAGTGTCTCAGGGCGAAGTGTATCTGGTGCACCTTGCTGCTGGTCCTACTGGTGATGAATGTCAAGCTACATTGAACTCGCAGCCCCGAAAGAGCGGTCAGTAGAGGTTCTGATGGTAAGTAGAGCGGATCTCTGAATCAGACAAGTACAGTGATTGGACACATCCGTCGTGGCTTGGCAAAGTTCTCGTAGTTGTGCACGTAGGAAATGTGGGGGAAAATGTTTAAGCACATTGAAAGATAAATGCAAAAGGTGACAAATACCCTGAATCCCTTCAATGATTTCTTCGTAGTAACAAGTGCCACGCTACTAGCAACAAGTGCATCGCTTCTAGTAACAAGTGCCTTACTAGTAGTAACAAGAAGCTATTAGAAACGTTCTCTCTTGGGAGGATCACGCTGGGGGACCAACACTGTCATCACCACCGCCACCACCACCATCACCATCATCACCACCACCACCATCATCGTCATCAACCAAACAGAAAATTTCACACGGAGTTTCTCTGGACACTGGACTGTTCACTGCTTCTCCACTGCTTTTCCTGTCTAGGGGCTCCTGGCCTCGCTACTAGGGGCAAGAAGCTACTAGGGGC